AATTAAATTTGGTTTAAGAAGTTTCTGTGAAGTTCATAATGCCCTGTCAGAGAAATAGTGACACGCTAGTGGCCCTGGGGATTTCCCTGAACAACCTCTGTTAAAAGGGTGATCTCATTACAGACCCCAAGGACAGGTAGCTCTTGACCCTGAAGCACACAACCCTGTTTACCTATATCCTGGGATGTTACATCCAAATGCCCTAAGAATCCATCCACCTTCACCTCTGGATTTAGGATCTGTATCACTTAAGAAGCCTGAAAGAGAGTCAAAAGGTAGATTTTCATCCTGCCTTGTTACTTCAGGCAGACCCTGGAATTTTTCTGGAATTCTGCCGACTCCATAAAATGGGAGTCACAATGGCATCTGTGGTGACCCTAAGGGTGTGTCCCAGACACCTCCAATTACAGAAAGTAAAACTGACCAAAGGCAGTGTGAAATCTATCACCGTGTTTATACTGAGGCTAGACTTCCCTCAGACTCCTTCTAGCCAGTTCCTGAGCACAGCAGGGATACTAAGGCAGACCCATTTCTGGGAGACGTGGGGCTCTTCTGTTTGCCTTCTTTGCCTCAAGAGCTCTGATGGCCATGCTGAACCTTCCTTAGACCACAGCATGGTCAGGAACGTGTCCACCCAACCTTGCTCCCCTCTCTCCTCCACTCAGAGTCTTACATCATGGTCTGACAGGTCTCCCAGCCTTCCCAGCTCCCTTCCCATTTTCTCTCACAGATGTTTGCCCTCATAAAACCCTTGCACTTTTCTTTCCATCTTGGTGTCTGCTTCTCAGAGGACCCAGAGTAAATCACCATCCTGCCCACCTCTCAGAGGTGCCAGGAGACACCCCAAAGCAGAAAGCTTTCAACATCTGTAAAAGCCTCTTGCCACAAATGTTTCTAGACTCCCCCGTGACAAAACATTTGTAATGCTTTTCCCCTGAAGACAAAAAAAATGTTTTGCTGCCTGAGCTGGGAGACACCCGGCTGGCAACTTCTGTGGCAGACACTCCCTGTGAACCTGGGCCAGACCCTACATACCTCCATAACTTCACACCCTGGCTCTGTTCTCTAGAGCAGAGTTCGGAGCAGGAAATGGCAGAATCCCCAAAATTCGCAGATAAAGCCCTAACCCTGCTGTTCCCCCCTTTGCATCAGATTTTTGCTATGGTCTGAATATTTGAAATTCATATGTTGGAAACCTAATGCCCAAGATGATGGTATTAGGAGGTAGGGGCTTTGAGAGGTCATGAGGTCATGAGAGTGTACCCATCATGAATGGGATTCATGTCCTTATAAAAGAGGCCCCAGAGAGCTAGTTGCCCCATCTGCCGTGTAAAGCTACAAAAAAGTGACGCAGAAGAGGCCCCGCACCCAACCATGCTGGCACCCAGACCTCAGACATCCAGCCTCCGGAACTGTGAGAAATAAATTTCTGTTGTTTATAAGCCACCCAGCCTGTGGCATCTTGTTATGGCAGCCTGAACAGATGAAGTTAATCATCTTGGTTCTTCCTTCTCTTTGGGCTTCAGTTACCTCATATGTATGACAAGGATTGAACTAGATTTGTGGCTTTCAAACAGGGTTCATGGGAAATTTGGCAGAGGTGTCTCAGGGGTGAGGGGTTTCCTCATTCAGCTAAGGTGCCTCAGCTTTGGCTTGTTTGATATTGGGCTCCAGCATAAGATGCACAGACAGGGTTCTTACACCAGAGAAAATTTACGTACAAAGAGCAATGCCCTGCTGCACCAGAATCTACCCAGCTGGGATGCTGGCAGTGCTTAGAGAAGGAGGGAGGGGCATATGATGAGTGGGCAGAAGGATGCCTAGATACTGGGAGGTTCCATCAGGCACAGGGAGTGGGGGTGGCCTCATCTAGCTGGAAGAATCACTGGGAGTGGGCTTGGAGATAGCAAAGCATCCAGGGCTTCAAATACCAGACCAAGGAGCCCAGCCCTTCTCCTGTCTGTGAGTAGGGAGCAAAGAAAGCAGCCTCCAGCCCTCACTGAGCAAACATTTCCCAAGTGCCCACTATGGGCAGGATCCTATAGTACTGTATCCGGGAGGACACACAGGTGCAGCCAACAAAATCCCACCTGGAGCAGGAGACTCCCGGACTCATTCCCCGTGGCCCCAAGCTGTGTCCCCCTCAATCTCTCACTCAACAAACACTCACTGATGTGGTAGCCAGCCTGAGCTGACCTCAAAGATCCCCTCTTCTTGGTATTCATGTCCTTAGGGTAGTCAAGGTGGGAGGGCCCATACTGGATAGGGTTGACCTAAGATATCAGAGAAATGACAGTATTAGAGTTAAATAATAAATGAAGATATTAGAGAAATGAGTGTGACTTTTGAAATTGGGTCACAAAGGATATTGTGGCTTTTTGCTCTCTTTATCACTCATTTTGAGAGAAGCCAACTACCATGTCATAAGGACACTCAGGATGCCCTGTGGAGAGGCCCACATGGCAAGGAAGCGAGGCCTCCTGCCAACAGCCATGTGGATGACTGGTCTTGGAAGTGGACCCTCCCGCCCCAGTCAAGCCTTCATATGACCCACAGCCCTGGGCAACATCCAGAACTATTCCACTAAGCCACTCCCAAATACCTGATCCACAGAAACTGTCAGATAATTCATGTGTGTTGCTTTAAGCCATAATGTTTGGGGATAATTTGTTACCCCAAATCTATACATCTGATGGTACTCTGTGCTGTGCCAACGACACTGTCCCCACTGTCCTCTGGGCCACAATACCTCTTCCCTGATCTCTCTACCTCCTGTCGATTTCCTCTTCCATTTCCCCTCCACATAGGATCCAGACCAAACTAAAGGGACACTCTCAAGAAATGTGTGTTGAACAGGCTCTTGCCTGCTCAAAGCCTCTCCCATGGCTCTATATTGTATAGTGTGTTCTTTCCAGGAAGTACTGGCAAGTGAGCAGGGGCAGTGCGATGGTAGAGTTTCTGGCATCCCTGAGCTGATTTGGGAACAGAGCAGAAAGCAAGAAGAGCCCTTGTTTGCTCTTGCCCCTGGAATGACAATCCAAGGGCCCCCTGGGGAGGTTGGGAGGGGCCCCCTCGCAGCTGGGGCTGAGACAAGGCAGGGGCTTTGTTCTGAATCCACAATGGCAGGATGCCCAGCACAGACCCAGATCCCCGGCTTCCTCCAAAGCAGGGCAAGGGGGTGGGAGCTGGGGCATCCCTCCCACTGTGCTCTAAGAGCAAGCCCCCAGAGTGGAAGGCTGTGGGGGAGGGAAGTGGCTAGTATGAAAAGCCTTGGGAAGGAACTAGGAATTCTGTTAGTTCTCTTGTGAGTCAGTCTGCTAACATTTCTTGAGGACCTATTAGGTTTCAGGTACTATTGCTAAGTACTTGCCACACATTAGCCCACTGCAGCCCCCTCCCCAAGCTAGCCAGGGTTCCGTTCTACTGCTGCCGCCACTTAACACACAGAGGCACAGGAGGAGAAGGCCCTTGCCTGGAGTCACATAGCTTAGACAAAGCCAGAGCTGGGGTTTGGACCCAGGTCGGACCCCTGTTCCTGACTAGTATTCTCTTCCACCTACTCTGTCCATAGCAGGCCCCGTGCTGGTGCTGGGGAAGACAGTGGTGAGCAGGACAGCTGTCTTGGCCCTTGCCAGAGCCCAGGCTGGTGGGGAAGAGAAGTGATACACTAGTTCTGACAGTGGGATGTGCTCAGTGCCCAGCCTGAGTGCAGGGAGCTGGGGTGACCTTTAGCTGCGGCTCGCAGCTCAGCTTTGCATGGAGCAGGACAGAGGTAGGGGTAGGAAAGAGCTTCCCAAGGAAGGTGACATCTGTTCTCCTGGGGACAAGGCTTCCCTGCAGGGACCGGATACAAAGATTGAGGCTTGGAGAGGTGGAGTGACTTGCCTGAGGCAATCAACTAGTAAGAGGCAGAGCCTAGAGGGACAGTGGCCTGGGATGGAAATCACCCACCAAGCCCTTCTTACCGGTTATTCCAGCAATCCTCACTGCCCACTCCCAATGACACTGTGACACCAAGAGAGACCAAATGGGTCACACTGTGAGACAGGGGGCCAGGATACAAACCCGGGTTTTCTGACAGGGCTTTAAACATGACCTTGAGGGAATCTCCTCAATGCTGGAGAGTCCCCAGTCTGGTGACAAGCCAGCCCCAAGGTCAAGCACGGCTCCGATTCACCCCTGCCCTCTGCCCCCACAACCACCAAGGGCTGGCTCTGATCTGATGGGGTTTGGGGGCTGCGGTAGGCTCACCCTTCAGCCAAGCATTCCATGGGGGTCCAGGAGCCAGGGTGAGGGTGCTGCAGGGAGGCTCCTACTCTGGCAGAGGGGCTCCCTGGAAAGAGAAAGGGTCCTGAGTACTAGTGAGGCTCTGCCCACCCAGACATCTAATCTGTCCTGTCTGGCCAAGCCTCAGAGTGGAGGCTGGAAATGCCCAGGCTGCACAGGGACAGGGCTGGGCCAGCGGCATCTCTGAGTCACAGGCAGGGTGGGTAGCGAGTGACTCAGCCTGGGCCCACTTCCCCTCCAAAAGGCCAGCCTGGATGGAGGCCAGAGCCAGGAAACCCTGCGCCTGTCCTTCCTGGGCCAGGTGCCTGAAGGAAGTCAGTGAGGATGGAAGGTGGAGCCCAAGGAGAGGAGAAGCGAGACAGGAACCTGGTGAGGCCGCTGGGGCCAGATCCTGATGGTCTTGTGGTCTGGGGCAGGAAGTTCTGACTTTGTTCCAGGAGTAGTGTAGAGCCCCATGAGGTGTGTGTTTTAGAAAGAACCTTCTGGGGCTATGTGGAAGGTGGAGTAGAGAAGCCAGAGCAGAGCAGGGAGGAAGCCACTGCCACCATGCAGAATGTGAGCAATGGTGGCCTGGCCAGTTAGAGAAGGGGACCCAGACAGGCCATGATGGGTAAGGGAGGATGTCCTCATTTCTGGGTGGGCAGCTAGCAGCCAGTGGGCCCAGAGCTCTCCCTGGATTTCCTTGGCTGTCACTCTGAGGAATGACACAGGTATACAAGCAAAAATAGTTTATTTGAGGATGGAAGACCCAAAACTGGGGGGCCCAGGGGTGAGGCTACAGCGGCTGCCTGGAGTTGGCAGATGACCCCAATCCCCAGGGGATCCCAGCAACAAAGAGACCCTTCCCTGGGCCCCCTAGCTGCCTCCCCCACTTCCTGGAGGAAGGATTGTGCAATTGCCAAGAATCATCATCGTCGTCATCAGAACATGGTGAAGTTTTCAAAGTTTGGCCAGCAATTTTTGGAGTAGTAGTTGATGCTCATCCTAATAATCAGTCCGAGAAGCACAGTGACTGTGCTAGGTCTGGACCCACCATCCAGTGGTGAGTGAGATCTGTGGTCAGAGGCAGGCAAGGGACAGGAGGTGGTTCTCTCCGGGAATCCCCATTCCAGCCTCCAAGGTGGCCCTTCCAGAAGGCCCCTCTCTCTCTCCCCTGGCCCCAGTGGCTGCCTGCTTTCTGCTTTTCCCATGGCCACTGGCCAAGGTTGGATTCAGGCTGGGGCTGTCCCAGGGAGCCCAGGTGTTCCCCTAGGTCTCAAAGACCTTTGCCAGTCCGGCCCCTCCTCCAGAAGCCCCGGCGGGCAGCCCAGGAGGCCACAAACTCGCAGTTGTGGTAAAGGAACATTCCTGAAAGGGTGAGTGCAATGCCCATGTAGCTGAGGGCACTGAGGCGGCTGCCAAACAGGAGTCGGGACAGGATGAGGTTGCCCACGACAGTGAGGTTGCCCAGGACGTGGACGGTGAGGGCAGAGGTGAGAGCCAGCAGGGAGAAGCTGGCCAAGTTGTAGAGCACGGACAGCAGGCAGCTGAGCAGGACGCAGGCCCAGAGCTGGGAGCTGGTGGGGGCGGGCGGCAGGGCTACGCCCGCCTCCAGCACCAGGGCTGCACCCGCCAGCAGGCAGAAGCTGGGCAGCGAGGTGGCATACAGCAGGGTCACCGCGTCTAGACTCTCCTCCTGCAACAGGGCACCTGCAAGCAGGACAGCAGCCATCAGCACCCCGAGGGAGGCGATCCCCACCCCACCTGACTGACCCGGCAGGGGCTCGGGGGCCCATCACCCCGGAAACCTGCCCCAGTCCCTCAGGCAGAATTAGTGGCTCCTGTTCTGTAACACGACAGTCAAGAATCCAGTCACATCACCTAGCCTGTGACCTGCGTCCACTCCTGACCAGCTATGACCTGGCACTTACCCTTCGTATCACCTGCAGAGTTGGGTGATAACACCTCATATGCAGCGTTGTTGTAAAGATTAAAATAGATGACACTTATAAAGTCTTTGTAAGGTTAAGTACTTACTGAATGTAAAAAGGTAAATAAATAAGCCTGTTATCATCCACTTCAAACTGCCTTCCGCAGTTTGAAGCAGCAGCAATAAGCTGCTTGTGATAGCCAAACGATCAATAAACATGAAATGTGGCTCAAAAAAAAAAAAAATCTTGGGGGGCTCCCCAGGCCCTGGAGAAAAATATCCTAGGTTCTTTTTTTTTTTTTAATGTTTTATTTATTTATTCACAAGAGTCAGAGAGAGAGAGAGAGGCAGAGGCAGAGAGAGAGGCAGGCTCCCCACCTAGCAGGGAGCCCGATGCGGGACTCGATCCCAGGACCCTGGGATCATGACCTGAGCCGAAGGCAGATGCTTAACCATCTGAGCCACCCAGGCGCCCCCAAATATCCTAGGTTCTTAACCAGGTTGGAAGGCCCTATGCCAAGTGACCCTGACCCCACCTTTCTTGGGTTCAGTCCCCACCCACCCACCCACTACCCCACAATGCAGCGCCCACCACCATAGCAACAGACAGGCCAACAGAAGGTCCCAGCTCTGCCACTTCCTAGCAAAAAAAAAAAAAGAGTTTTACAATAATAAATTGGAGTCAAATGGCGAGTTCATTCATTGCTTCATTCACTTATGACCCTGGGATGAAGGGAGAACAACAAGAAAGTCATTGTTTGCCCTTGGCTGTCACTCACTGTTTATAACTGATAATCAGCATCTTTTGCTACCAACACTAAGGCTTGTCGAGATGAATCCAGGACTAAGAGGAAACCTTATGGTTTTGCAAGGAAAGAGAGGATCCTACCAGCTTGCATATGTGTGAATGTGTGCATGTGTTTCTATGCTTACACATATTACTACCCAGCTGTTCACAAAGGAAGCAGTGCCCATCATCAAAGTCAGACACTGCTCGGGTGAAATGACAGTATTTGCACACTGGTGATGATGTTTTGGGGCCTTCTCCTAGCTTTGGTGGAGAGAGATGAGTAACTGATGGAGGCCCCCTCCCAGGGCTCTTGGAGCCTCTGTGCATTTTCTGACACACGCTTTCCAAAGACCCACAGGGGTGCTTACTCATAGGCCAGAATAGGAAAACTGTATTTCTCTCTCAATTTCATTTTGATGTTTTGGCTTTGTTCTCTAGGCAACAGTCCCTCCAGCTCAAGCATTTCTAGAAATGAACAGATAATTGGAATGCTTCCTGCTCCCTTCACTCCAAATTTAGCACTATTACAAGTGGCATGTGGCTTGTACGTTAAAGGTCCCATCACTGGAAGGTGTCTAGGTGAACCTCACCGCCTCCAAGGTGGCCCTTCCAGAAGGCCCCTCTCTCTCTCCCATGGCCCCAGTGGCTGCTGTGAGGTAGCCAGGCAGGAAGGTCCTAACCTCCCCACCACCCCCAGCCCCTTGTGCCCATTCTACATCCCACCCAGCCCCCTGCCTGCCCTCTGCCTGCCCTCCCTGCAGCCCAGGGAAAGAGCAGTGATCCTCTGCCACAGGCCACTCGCCCCACCCAGGGCCCCCAAATGCCAGCCTATGGTCCTGCCTCCTTAATGACCCCTCCCCGGCTAGCCCCACCAAACCCTCCATTTCAACTTCTCCTTCTCTAAAGGCAATTTTGTTTCAGCATCTGAACACACCTAGGCTTCTGCCACAGACAGACAAAGGTTCCCTAGACCCTCTGTTCCTATGGCTGCTGGGTTAGCCCATCTTTGCTCTGTCACCAGCTGTGTGATATCACACAAGTCACTCTAGGTCTCATCTCCTCGTGTGTAACAACACCGCCCTCACAGGAGCGTGCGAGGTGCTGAGCTCAGGGCCTGGTGCCCGGCGGCGACTGCTCGCCACAGCAGCTGTCATGATCCCCCACGCTGCTCCTGCCGGCTGCCACCCGGGCCCTGGCAAGGCCTGCCTCCCACTCCCAGAATGCTCTCTCCTCTGGTCTCCCCAGGAAGAAGAAAACTGCCCCCGACCACACCTGTGCCCACCTTGGCTCTAGAACTTTTCTCCTGCCCTTGTAGTCTCTGCCTCTGAGTGCATCTCCCCACCAGCCTGAGAGCTCAGGCAGGGATCAGGTCAGGCTGCTCTCTGATGCAGGTGGGTACAGCTGAAAGCAATTTCAGCAAGCTGGCACCCCTCTTCCCAGCCTCTCTGGGAGCACAGCCCCACCCTGGGCCTGCAAGCGGCCCAGATTGGAAGGAAGAGACTGGCCCTGCCCACAGCTGCCTGGGTGCTCCTCTTCCTGGACTCTTACCCCTACTCCATGCAGTCTGCTCTCAGCCTACCATTTACACTCTAGTCTGAATCTGGAACCCCTGGAAGTAGAAACCTCCTCTTGTCCAAAACTCACCTCACATCCTGGCTCCGGTCTGTTCCTCCCCATCTCTGCCAGGCTCCCATCTCGGTTGGTGGGGCCTCCAGCCTCCTAAGCTCCCTGCTTAGCACCCTGAGCCATGTCCCCTAACCAGCCTGCCAATTCTGCTATCAGAGCCATTAATAACCCACCCACTGAAGGAGTACTTGCCTGTGCCAGGCCTCAGGCCAGGTGCTGGGGGACATGGAGAGGCCCAAAGCCAGTCCATGCCCTCTCAGCCCTCCTGTCTGGTGGGATGCAGACAGGTAACCAAGTGGCTACAACACAGGACATCAGAGCTGTGACAGGGGAAACAGAGGGTATACTGTGGGAGCCTGGAGAAAGCACCCAACCCACCTCGAGGGCCAGGCGGTTGACACCTGGGAGAGAAGGAGGAAGCTGGCAGAAGCCAAGAAACATCAATGCCAGGCACCCGCTGTTTCTGAGGCCTGGGTGAGAAGCAGGCATGCTGTGGGCCTGAAGACTGGGGTCTTCCCAACCCTGTGACCCTGCTGGGGTGGGGTGGGGGGGGGCAAGAGGTCAGATTTCCCACTTACCAACTCATGCTCAGAGCTCAGGCCCAAGCTCAGTCACCAGCTCTCATGTAACCCGAGGGCAAAAATAGCACGGAGCTTTGGCCCTGCCTTAGGGCCCCGGAGGATGGGGAAGATGCAAGGGCAGGGCTGAGCTCTGACGTCTACCTTCCCTTGCCTGCAGGCTGCCCCCAACCCCAGCCTATAGCACCCTTGAAGCCCCCCTCCTCGTTCTCCCAGGCCTAGGTCACAGATCTCAGAGCTGGAAGGGGAGAGAGCACGGGGCCCCTGGGACTCCATCAACTCCAACCCTCCTCCTCTGAACAGGTAGGGAGACTGAGGCCCAGATAAGACCCAGATCGGCCCAAGGTTGACCAGCAAGTATGAGCAGAGGTATGGCTGGATCCCAGGCCTCCCCACCCTGAGTGGGCACCCTGCCTTCCCCCACATCTCCCTTAGGTTGAGGCAGAGAGAGGGTGGGGACTGTGACTCAGATGCCCCTTGAGACAGAGGGGAAGGCATCCTCTACCCTCAGACCCAGTGATTTAGCAGGGTCTAGGCCTGGAGCCTCCACCTCCCCTTCTGCCCAGGGCCCCCCCTGTCTCCTTTCTTCAGAAGTGAGGTCACCTGGGACAAATCATGAACCTCTAGGTCTCAGTTCCATGGGCTATCAAATGAGAATGAAGGTGGTGGTTGCCATGGCAATTCAAGGTCAACACGGAGCATGGGGACTGTTACACTGCAGCTCTCAGTAAACATCAGCCCTTCCCAGACTTAGCCAAACCCCTCAGCTTCCAAATCCCAGCTCAAGGTCTCGCCCTCTTTCTCTCTCCTGGGTCCCCACTATCAGGTCTCCTTCAGGGTCCACAGCCTTACGCCACATCACTTGGACAGCACGGAGTCTGACTGCCTGGGTACAGACCTTGCCTCTGCTGCTCACTAGCCACATGACCCAGGGCAAGTCTCTACGGGTCAACAGGGACAACAGAGTGACTTCCTTCATCAGGGCAGTATGGAGATCCAATGAGATAAAGGGCTTGACAAAACATGAGACACGCATCAATGGCAAATTATTAAATATCGGCTGGGGTGTAGAGCCTAAGTTTGGGGCTTGGAATTCTCTGAGCTGTCGGTCCTTTCCGAGCCTCAGTTTCTGCCTCCTCCAAAGTCAGGAACCTCAGTTTCTTCATCTGGAAGATGGGAAAACAGCCATACCCCTCCCAGGGCCATCCAGGCCACACCCCCACCCCAAACCCCACCTTCTCAGCCAGTGACCCAGGCACTCACTCTGCTGGATGGACTTGAGGCCGCGGAGGCAGGTGGCAGCCAGCAGGAAGCCGCAGCCAGCAGGCGGTGTCCGGAGCTCCCCGGCCAGGCTGCAGGCGGCCCCCAGGCAGAGGGGGCCCATGGCGGCAAATTGCAGTGGGTGGTGGCGCCGGCCGAGCAGCAGCGCGGACAGGGCCAGCGTGATCAGTGGCGTGGTAGTGGTGGCCAGCTGTGCCAGGTCCAGGGGCACAGCGCTCAGGCCCACGTTGCCACAAGCCATCGAGGTGCCGAAGGTGAGGCTGAGCAGCAGCACTTGGAGGCGAGTGCGGCGGGGCATGGGGCGCTGTGCCCCCCAGCGGCACGCCAAGGCTGCTGCCAGCATGTGTAGGGCGGAGAGCAGCAGGGGCCGTCCGAAGCCATGCACAGTGAAGATCCACTTGTTGAGGCTCGACATGCTGGCCCCTGCCAGCAGCCACACCAGAGCTGCCACGGCCACCCGAACCCGGCCAGGCCGCCCAAGGGCCTGCCGGGTGTCGGGCGGCCACTCGGGGGACCCAGCCGCCCGAGCACCACTAACCACTGCCTCCGCTGAGGTCATCCTGCCGTCATGGTGCTCCAGGGGGCAGCGACACATCCGTACCAGTGGGTCCGGGGCAGGAGGCCGGCTCCCCAGTGACCAGCTCTGGGCCACCGAAGAGTCCCACTCTGGGCCAGGCCCGAGCGCAATTCCTCAGACAGATGGGCACTGCTTCTTGTACCAGGCCTGTGCCAGCCAAGGTCCAGGAGCTATGCGGTACTCCTGGCTCAGGCAGGGCAGAACCCAGGCCGAGCGGCTGGCATGCCAGCCTCTCCGGTGCTCAAGCCTGGCCTAGTAAGCTGCAGGCACCTCTGCCCGGTCCCAGGTGAAGTCTCCACTCTTCTTCCCGCTTTGAAGCCGACTCCACGATTAGGTGGAATCCTCGTTCCTTTTTCTCTTCGGTCCAGACCCCGCGACCCACTGCTCGTTCAGGCCGGGCCCAGGCCTGGCAGGGGCGATCCGGGAACCGGCTCCCGGTGGTGCCTGGTGGTCGCGGCTCGCTCCCTCCGACAGTGCGCCCAGGCCCAGCGGCTAGCTGACACACCGGCCCGCGCTCAGGCCGGTGCCCGACGATGAGCTCGGCTCGGCTAGGCTCTGGCAGAGGCCTGCGCTCCAGCTCCGGCTCCTGGCGGCTCCAGCTCTCGGCGGCTCGGGCTCCGGCTCCGGCTCCTGCAGCCGCTCCAGCCAGGCTTCAGCCCCGGCGGGCCCCGCGGGCGAGGCCCCGCGCTCTTAGGCCCCGCCTCCACCGCCGCCGCCCGCGCCCCACCCGGAAAGTTGAGCTGAGCCCCCAGCACCGCCCCTGTCTAGGCCCCGCCCCCGGAGCCGGGAGGGATGTCTCGCTCCTCCCCCAAGCCGCCCGCTCACAGCCCCCCCCGCATCCGCCTAACAGTCCCTCCATCAGCAGAGCTCCCCAGATGGAGTGGCCAGGCTGCCTGTCCCCTCTCCCCTAGCAGTGGGGAATCAGGCCTCTCCATATCCAGCGCCAAGGCAAGCCCCCCGTAGAGACCTATGCAGTGCGGGGACAATGAGGTGCCTTTCTGAGGGAGCCCAATAAAACCCCCAGCTTCACCGGGGACTGCAACTTCAAGGACCCCCGCCCAGGGACCCTCATCCCAGGACCAGTCTCGGGGCCACCCGATCTCTGGCCACAGTTATTCCGTGAGACCTCAGCATCCAGACGAGTTGGACCACCGGGCCCCTTAAGGCCCCTCCATAGCCCCTCCCTACTCCCACGCTTCCTTCCTCTCCCAGCCCAGGGCCGGCCCCCTCTAGGCAGACACAGGGAACTGAATCACCAAGGCCACCCACATTTGTGGAAGCGGGGTACCAACCAGCATCTATCCCTGGCCAGCAGCTCCTGGGCACTCAGAACTGACTCATAGCTGGACTTCCTGGGGTCCACCCTCTGCCCCCAGCCCTAGCAGGACAAAGAGCCCTGGGTGGGCTGGCAGCCAGAGCAGCTGCCACTAAGCCCTTGCCGCTGCCTGGGTCTCTGCTTTCCCATCTAAACGACGGATGCTCTCTTTGCTCAGGGTTGGGGAAACCGCGCACCCCAGAGCAGAACAAGCTGAATCGGATTCCAGGCTGGACACTGGACTCTCTGAGCTCCGGAACCCAAGTGCGCAAGAACCAAGGTGGAATGCCTGGCGCAGGTAGGTGCCCACAGCCAGCTGCGAGCCTCTTTCCTGACGTCGGGCTTCCTTCCCTGCGGAAGCTGCCCACCGGAACACGGCTCACCCTTAGCCTGTTGTCTGATCAGCAAGTCCTGAGGACAGCAGCCTGTCGGGAGGAACAAGACCGCAAAGGGCTGAAGACAGCAGCCTGTCGGGAGGAAAAGACCGCAGAGGGTAACCACTTAGCTCGGTCCGCGGCGCCCTCTCGTGGTAAGACTGTGGAATGACAAGTGCCCCTCAAGCCCCATCATAATCACTGGACAAGGATTAGCACCATCTGTGTCCTCCGCACTCCCGCCCCCGCACCCCCCGACACCCGCCCCCAGCTTCACCGGAGACCTGCTGAATCAGACGCTCTCTGGTGGGCCCAGGAATCTGCATTTTTACATTTGCCTCTGGTGATTCTGATGCCTGCTGGAGCCTGCAAATAGCTGCTTAATAGTCCAAATTGTAGGGCAAAGGATTTTCAGGTCAAGGACTAAAATAAGGGGGTATTTAGACAGGGTTTCTCCAGGAGGGGTTGTGGGAGAGAAGCTGAGCTAGCCAAGAGAGCAACCTCCCTCCCCCCATACTTCCTGAAGAAGAGGAATCAGTGCCGTCTAAGGGTTATATTCTTTTTGAGATGTCAGTTTTCCAGGAAATTTCCTTTAATTAAAAATAATAATAATAATACTTTAAAAACTAGGTAAACACCCTTTCTCAGAGCTGAGCTAGCAGGGAGTGGTAGGCAGTGTTTACAACTCCTCCAAGACTGCCACAAAGCAGCTCCTACCTGCCCTGCCTGATAAGGGGTGGGTTAGAGGATTATTCAAGATGAGGCCTGAGTGGGCCATGATGGGATGGAGAGAGCTGCCCACACTGCGGTGGAGGGGGAAGGGAGAGGCCGAGGGCACAGCTCAAAGCAGGGGTTGTGCAGCCTGAGTGCTGGTGGGAGATTCAGACTAGGTCTGTCTGGGTCCAGAGCCCTAGTTTTTAACCTGCCTTGACTTGTAGACAGCAAGACTCTCCATAGGATTTTCCCTTGGGCAAAAATGGGGGCAGGGGGCTCCCTTGCTGTCCCTGGGGTCCATCCAAAAGCCCAGAGCAGGCTGCCCTTGCCCACAGACTCCCAAATCCCTCAGATCCGATCCGATTGCTGCCCTTTGGGGCCCCAACCTGGAAGTAGGTGATTCAGGGAGGGACTCTGGGAGGCACCAGGAGCAGGAGAAGAACCCGTTCCTAGCAACTGGGCTGCAGAGGCTGTGGGACAGACCTCTCCTCTCGTCACTGCATGTTCCTAGATAAATCATTTCACTGCTAGGGCCTGTTTCCCACCTGTGACATGATGAGCTCACAGGCATGAACATGCTAAGCAAATCCAGGCGCCATCCCATGGCTGTGAGAAAGGGGAATTGGTCTGTCTGGAGGTCTACAGATCTAAGTGCAGGCTAGACACAAAGCTGGTCCCCAGTCCCCAGGGGGAGCCTGTTTATCAGACTCTCACTATGGGGCTCTGCACCAGACATGCTTATGCTCTCACCCACACCCCTTCTCACGGTCCAGTAGATTGTACCAGGCTAGACACCTGGCCCAGAATCCACAGGCGGGGCTGGGCTGGGCAGACCCCCTCTCTAGGCTTTGGGACATAGGCTGAGGAAGTGAGAGGGGGCTGGGGAATTGAACTGGAAGGTGACAGAGTCACTGCTGGGGCCACACTCTGAAGAAGCTGATGGGGGAAAAGACAGACTAGTGAGCATTGTGGAGGTGATGGAACTTTGAGCCCCAACGTCTGTTTCCCTACCACCCTTGGCTGCCCCTGAGTTGGTGGGCTTGATTTGAGTAGGATTCAGTAGTTTTCTGCTCCTCAGAGCCAAACACACCCTGACTAAATCGTCCCTTTGGAGGGTAGATCACACCCAGTTTGTGCGCCCTCGAAAGCCCAGTGCAGGGGCATCCCTGTCGTTCCCATCCACCCTCTCTCTCCGGCCTGGCCTGAGACCTGCCACTGCCAGTCTCCTCTCTGTGGGAGGGGCCTGTGGCTTCCTCACTTCGTGTCTCCATGACAGGCAAGGAGACAGCGGGGGGGGGGGGGGGGGGGGGAGTTTCCTGTGGTGGCAAGTACCTTCGGGGCCCAGGTCAGTGGGGGAGGGTCTGGGCTCTGCCACCTCCAGGCTATGCGACCTGAGGCAAGCCTCAGACCTCTGAGTCTCCACCCTTCTTCGACAGTACTATAGAAGAACCACAGAGCATGGAACAGGTTCTGAATCCTCTGAGAAGGGCCCCTGATGGTGATCAAGGAGGGACAGGTGAACAAGCCCTTTGGGGTTCTGGGCACAGACCTTCAAAACAGGCTGTGTCTTCGTGTGGCTTTCTGATACTCTGACGTTTGTTTCAGTATAAGAATTTTTTAAATCATCTACTTCCCCTCCCTGTCCAGACCCCAAATACGTGAAACTGGGGCTCTAGGAAGAGGTATCTATGTAACACACTGTCTAGCACAGAGCCCCTCTGAGGGAAGGCCCCCCCTTCCTCACCTTGGTGAGGTGGGGCATGTGAGGTGCCTCCCTGGACTGAACCCCACTTCCCAGAGGTCAGCCCAGAGTTCAGGGCCCTCCCACTAACAGGCAAGGTCCCTGGCCCCTGGCCGCTGAGGCCTGGGGTGGTACCCTGACTGTGTGTTGAGGAAAACAAAAAGCTCTAGGCTCCTGGGCCTCCAGTTACATTTAGGTTCTGTCATGTAATCCCAACAACCATGGAAGCCCCCCAATTTTCAGTGTTTGCGTGGAAAAGCCAGGAGGCCACCCCAGGCCAGGCCTGTGTCTCCTCAGCCATGTCCCCTGCCTGACATTGTGGGTGAGTCACACGCCCTTGCTGAGTACCAATTTCCTTATCTGCAAAGTAGAGATGAAAACAAAAATATCCACAACCTCAAGAGTTGTGCGAGAAAGCATCTAGCAAGGATATGTTCCCTAAACAGTAATCGGCGTTGACATCACCAGCACTGCTCCTTACCAGCCCCCAGGAGAATGCAGCCACCCCCCCCGCCCCCCACCTTCCTCTGCGCCCCCAGGGGAGCTCCTCCTTCTCCAGCCCCCTGTACTCAGTCATGAGCTTGAGGCATCAGGACGCCAGGGCAGGTGCACAATCAACACTTTAATCATTAATTTCAGAGGCAGGCTTTGAGCAGCTTGGCAGAGCCCCCACCAGCCACTCTGCCAAGGCCAGCACCGGGGCCACCGCCCTGAAGGCCAGAGTAGAGAGCTGGGGTCAGGGCTGCAGGCCCTGGGCCACACAGGTCTCCTTGCAGGACCCCAATCCCAGAGGGGGCAGTACTCACAACACCACTGGTCATGACTTCTCCTCCTTGTGTTGAGGAGTCTGAAATGCTTCAGACTCTTCAGACTA